AAAAATATGGTAAAAAACAGTAATTTATAACTCTGAAATTAAATGAAATAACTGATATTAATGGCTGTGGAAAATCCAGCTTTGCCATCACAGGAATAAATTACATTTTAAGCATATGCACATAGAAAAAAAAATATTATAAATTGTAATACTATTTCACAATATTGTTGTTTTTATTGTATTTTTGATCAGATAAATGCAGCTTTGGTGAACATTAGAGACTTCTTTCAAAAACATTCAAAAACGTAATTATTTCAAACACCAGCCAGTGTAGATATTTAATAGTGATACAGAATATTTTATTTTAGGACTTATTTGTTGAAATGAGAAGGTGTGTTGGCCCTGGTTCAGAGGTCATTAGACAACGACAGCAATGAAGAGACAAATGTTAGAAATTGCTGTAAGTCTGTGTTGGTTTTAGCAGGTTGTTGTCTGTTATCTCTGCACAGCCAGATCCTCTCGTAGTGACAGAAGTAAACGCAATGACATGACTATGACGCAAATGGAAATGAATATTTACTCACTGTTACCCTCAGCCTGTTTGCCCTTCATGCAGACGTCTTCTGTACGCCATCTTTGTCTGTCTTCAAATGAAATAATCCTCATTTACATAAAGCCTTTGACGAGTTAGACACTTTACCTGCCATTCGTTTTTAAAATAAAAACATTTCAACTGACTAATCAGAGACGGTCACTAAATTATTTAACACAAATGCAGCCTATCATTTGTTTAAGTTTTTTCCGTGTCTCACCTGCTCTGAGTTAAACAACAGATTTTGGTGAGTATATTTTTCGTTATTTACTTTAGTAGGCTACTTGTATTTATATTTGTGCAAAGATCCTGATAATTCAGTTCTTCAAATAAAGAATTTTAAGTTAAATTCATGTTTGATTACAAAATGATTGTCGGATTTATACATAATCTCAAGATTAAATTGTAAATTGTAATCTTTAAATCTTTATTTAAGAATGTTAGATATTTTAATGAAAAACAATACTAAAATACTTTAATTTTTAAAGCTGAAAATCAGTTTGAACCCACCCTAGGGTATGAATTAATTTATTTACTGAATGAAAGCTACACATTTATAATATCTGACACAGTATTTTTGTATCTGACGTACTGAGTGATAATACTTCACATGCAGTTGTATTTTAGTTTTGTAGGCTGTTTTGTCCCAGTACTCAGGAATCATTGAGAGAATAACTCAATAAATGGCATATAACATGCTTGGGATAAACTTGTGATATTTTGTCCTTTGATCAACCTTGTTATTTACATGTTTTCTAATTGTGCAATGGTGATGCTAGTTAATGGTGATGCTAGTTAATATTGGTGACTATGCTGTCTTAAACCACAATAAAGGATCAGTTCTTCTCCACTAGATGGTGGTGATGACTAAGGAAACAACTTTCATTTCATCACATCTGCAAGCGCTTGCTACTTGGTTGATGTTTTAAAGCAGAGACGTGGAGTAGTCTGGGCATTTTTTTGCAGAAAAAATGTATTACTTAATACTCAATGCTTTATACATATATATCCGATCTGCCTCACAATTCAGTTGTTATTAAGAATAGGTATTTTTGAATCCATGCATTTAGAGACTTCATGAGGTTTTTACTTCACTGCACAAACCAGAAGCACCCTGCTATTATTCCCCATTAAATATATTGTTCGCCGTTTCAAATTCCATCGGCTAATTATATACATAATTACATAAACATTTTGAACACAGTCTTTAGGAGATATTCATAAAGATGAATGAGCTGTTCCACGCATTTGAGAGAATTTTCTTTCAAAGTATGAGGTGAAATTCTTGGCCCGCTCGAGTCCAAACCTACAGGCTCTGTTGGCACTTCTGTAAACTGTATTCCTAATAATGGCCTCCCCCTTTTGTTCAACATCTCTTTGGGTCCAAAAGAGAACAGATGGAAGAAATTAAACAAGCACCAAGCCATTGCTGCTGTTCTATTAGATATCTGAAGAGAACATACAATTATTGCTAAAGTGGAAACACACTGCTGGGGGATTTCGGGAGGCCTGGTGTTTTATGTTTTCAGAATGATTGAATTTTGGTTGACCTGGGGGTGAAGTGTTTAGGGCTGTTTGGGTTAAAGATGAGGTCGGTGAAGGGATAGTTTACAGGAGCTGCTGTTTCATTTCTCATATCTCTGCCACTTAATTCCTCTTTTGAGAATCTGTTATGCTTAACAATTAGACCGTTTGTTTTGCTTTCTTGGAAAATGTACAGGTTTAAAGGAATAGTTCACACAAAAATGAAAATGAGCTTAA